TCTGCTCCTCATATGTAACAGGCATGAACAGATTAAAACATGGCTCAAGAACAACTCAGAGCCCCAGAGCCCATAAATGGAAGCGATGAAGAAATAGCCAAACTTTCAGATGCGCAGTTCAAAACACTGGTGATCAGGATGCTCACAAAACTGGTTGATTTTAGTCACAAATTAGAGGAACATATGGAAGCTAAACTAATTGAAATGATGGGAAATACACAGGAAACTAATAGTAACAGAAAGGAAACTGGGACTCAAATCAAAGGAGTGGACCAGAAGGAGGAAAAAAATGATCAAACAGAAAAGGATGAAGAAACAAGAATTCAAAAAAAAATGAGGAGAGGCTTAGGAACCTTCAGGACATCTTTAAACATTCAAAATCATTTTTCTTGTCATTAGTCACCTCACTATCTTTGTCCTGTTCTTAAAATACCCTTATTCTCTGTCCAGCTTTATGATTTTTGCTCACTGGTTGTGGATATGGTTGTTGTTGCATTTCTTCAATTTTATTTCTAGATCTCTTTTTTTTGTATTTCAAATTTTACTGTTTCCCCTCTCCTACTCCATTTTGCTCTACTCATGCCCTGTTTTTTGTTTTAAAATTTCCACATCTTAGCCTGGTGTTCATTCCTCACTCTTAGTATTCCTTCTCCCTCTATCCTCTCAAAATCACTTTTCTTTCCTCTAGACATCTCTTAAGCTTTTATTTCTTTCTTGTTTCCCTCTTATTCCCATCCCACATATATCAATTTTTTTAAAAAAATTTAAAGATTTTGTTTATTTATTTTTAGGGAGAAGGGAAGGGAAGGAGAGAGGGAGAGAAACATCAATGTGTGGTTGCCTCTCACGTGCCCCCTACCTGGAATCTGGCCTGAAACCCAGACATGTGCCCTGATGGGGAATCAAACTGGCAACCCTTTGGTTCTCAGCCCACGCTCACTCCACTGAGCCACACCAGCCAGGGCCCACATATATCAATTTTTGATCATTTGTTGTTGATATTGTGTGGTGGATCTTTTCCTCAAATGTGGTTCATATTTTTCTCACTAAATATTTTTAAATTTTTGTTTAAACCTAATACTATATGCTTCCCTTCACTTACTCCATTCTGCCTTCTTCCCTCCCTTTTTTATTTATGATCTAAATTTTGTTTTCTTTCTTTCTTTGTCTTGTTTCTATTCTCTTCTCTTATTATTTCTCCTCTCTCTACCCTGTCAAAATAATTTTTCTTTCAGCCAGTCATCTCATGTTCTATTTTCCTTTCTTAAAATAGTCTTAATCTCTTTACACCTTTATTAATATTTGCTCATTTGCTGTTTATAGTGTGGTGGTGGGTGGGGGTTATTTTTGCAAGTGTGGGTTTATCTCCTGGGTTGTTGGGTTTGTCCTGGCAGCACCTTTACAATAGCATACAAGACATTGTGGGTGGAATGATCCTCAGATCAGCCAGCTGGAGGGAAGGACCCACCAAAGAATGACCCAACGACAACCAAAACCGAATTACAACCAGAGAGCCCACAAAAACAGCATAAAGGGCATCCCATGAGCATCAGTCTCAGATCGAGGAGACTGTACCATTGTGTTGTACACAGGTCTCCTACCACAGAATGTCACACCAAGAAGACGGAGAGTCAAAGCAGATCAATCTAATAGGCAGAAACAAATAAGAAGAGTCACATAAAAAGGGGAGAAAAAGAAACAACCCATAATCAAAAGAAAGGAGGTATCCCCCAAAAAGAGTGCTAAATGAAATTGAGGCAAGCAAACTATCAGACACTGAGTTCAAAATAATGGTTACAAGAATGCTCCAGGAGCTCATTGAGAACTACAAGGAACTCCTTGGAAGCTATAAGGAACTTACTGTGAATCACATGACATGAAAAAGGACACAGAAACTATCAGTAAGAGCCAGGAGGAAATAAAAAATACAATATATGAAGTAAAGAATACATTAGAAGGAGTTAAAAGCAGGCTGGATGAACCAGAGGATCAAATCAGTGAATTGGAAGGAAGAAAAAAAAATTCCTAGACAGAGCAAAAAAGTGAAAAAAGATGCAAAATAATGAAGAGGGTTTAAGGGAGCTGCAGGACAACATGAAACATAATAATACTTGTATAACAGGGATACCACAAGAAAAGAATCATGGGATAGAAAACCTGTTTGAAAAAGTAATGACAGAAAACTTCCCTAACTTGATGAGATAAAAAGTCATGCAAGTCCAGGAATCACAGAGGGTTCCAATTAAGAAGAACCCAAAGAGGCCCACTCCAGGACATATCATAATTAAAATGGCAAAATTCAAAAACAAAGACAGAATTTTAAAAGCAAGAAGGAAGAAAGAGCTGGTAATATAAAAGGAAGCTCCTATAAGGCTATCAGTTGGTTACTCAACAGAAACACTACAAGCCAGTAGGGAATGGCAAGAAGTATTCCAAGTGATGAAAAGCAAAGGCCTGCACCCTAGACTGGTCTACTCAGAAAAGCTCTCATTTAAAATTGAAGGCAAAGTAAGGAACTTTCCAGACAATAGAAGGCTTAAAGTATACACTTCCACCAAACCAGCAGTACAAGAGATTCTAAAGGGACTACTTTAAGACAATGAAGTGAAAGAGTGAGAGAGAGAGAGGAACACAGGTACAAAGGGGGAAAATGGCAATAGTAAGTACCTATCAATAATAACCTCACACTCAACATAATTCTTAAATGAGCAAAAACTAAAAGCTATTCCCTTAGGATCTGGAACAAGACAAGTGTGTCTGCTTTTACCACTTTTATTCAACATAGTACTAGAAGTTCTATCAAAGCAATCAGACAAGAAGAAGACAAAAAAGGCATTCAAATAAGAAAGAAGGAAGTAAAATTCTCACTATTTGCAGATGACATGATAGTGTATACAGAAAACCCTATAAGCTCCACCAAAAAACTATTCGATGTAATAAATTAAGTTGGCAAAATAGCTAAATGCAAAGTAAATATGCAGAAATTGAAGGCATTATTGAATACCAACAATGAAATATCAGAAACAGAAACGAGGAAAAATCCCATTTACTCTAACAAAAACAACAAGAACAATAAAGTACCTAACAACAAACTTAACCAAGGAGGTAAAAGACCTGTACATGGAAAACTACAGAACACTGACGAAAGAAATTAAGCAAGATACAAATAAATGGGACCATATACTGTTTCATGGGTTTGAGTACGACCAAGAGATAGCCAACCTATCAGATGCACAGTTCAAAGCTCTGGTGATCAGGATTCTCACAGAATTGGTTGACTTTGGCTGCAAATTATATTAAAAAAATGAAGGGTATGCTAAGTGAAATGAGGATGAAGGAAAATGCACAGGGAACCAATACTGATGGGAAGGAAGCTGGGACTCAAATCAATGGAGTGAACCAGAAGGAAGAAAAAAACAACCAAACAGAAAACAATGAAGAAACAAGAATTCGAAAAGATGAGGAGAGGTTGAGGAACCTCCGGGACATCTTTAAACATTCCAACATCCAAATTATAGGGGTACCAGAAGGGGAAGAGGAAGAGCAACAAGTGGAAAACTTATTTGAACAAATAATAAAGGAGAACTTCCCCAATCTGACAAAGGCAACAGACTTCCAGGAAATCCAGGAAGCTCAGAGAGTCCCAAAGAAGTTGGACCCAAGAAGGAACACACCAAGGCACATCATCATTACATTAGCCAAGATTAAAATGAAGGAGAGAATCCTAGAAGCAGCAAGAGAGAAGGAGAGAGTTACCTACAAAGGAGTTCCCATCAGACTGTCAGCTGATTTCTCAAAAGAGACCTTGCAGGTAAGAAGGGGCTGGAAAGAAGTATTCCAAGTCATGAAAGGCAAGAACCTACATCCAAGATTGCTCTATCCAGCAAAGCTTTCATTTAGAATGGAAGGGCAGATAAAGTGCTTCTCAGGTAAGGTCAAATTAAAAGAGTTCATTATCACCAGGCCCTTATTTCATGAAATGTTAAAGGGACTGACCTAAGAAAAAGAAGATAAAAAACATATATAGTAAAATGACAGCAAACTCACAGTTATTAACAACCACACCTAAAACAAAAACAGAAACAACCTAAGCAAATAACTAGAACAGGAACAGAACCACAGAAATGGAGATCACATGGAGGATTAGCAACAGGGGAGTGGGAAGAGGAGAGAGGGGGAAAGGTACAGAGAATAAACAGCATAGATGGTAGGTAGAAAATATACAGGGGGAGGGCAAGAATAGTATGGGAAATGTAGAAGCTAAAGAACTAATGGCACATGGACATGAACTAAAGGTGGGGAATGTGGGTGGGAGAGGGCATGCAGGGTGGAGGGGAATGAAGTGGGAAAATAGGACAACTGTAATAGCATAGTCAATAAAATAAGCAAACAACCAATAAACAAATGAGCAAAACAGAACCAAAGTCATGGAAACATGGAACAGACTGACAGTGACCAGAGGGAAGGGGGGAGGGATAATGGGGGAAAGAAGGGGAAGGGATTAGTCAAGGAACATGTATGAATAACTCATGGACATGGACAACAGGGTAGGGATTGACTATGGGAGCAGGGGGTAGCTGGAGCCGTGGAGAACAATGGGGTGAAAATTGGGACGACTGTAATAGAACAGCAACAAAATACAAAAAAAATTAAGTTACCTTGAATTTTGAAAAAAACAAATGAGGCAATTTCATTTTATGAAAGGCATTATAGTCAACCCCCCTAAAAGTGTGAAGCTAACAGACTTATGATCTTATAATGATGCTTCTAGAAGTTCATTTTAATTTTATATCTTCCAGTGAATATAATCTTTGTTTATTGGGCTATATGAATAGTTTCCCAATGAATTATTACATATTTGGTTTCTTTAGAACCATTTGTCTTTTACTGAGAAACTCCCAAACCAGTATCTTAAAACTCTTGGTAAATAGGAATACTTATCACTGATTGAATATGAAAGAGCTAATGAATTAACAGAAGGAAAGTTTGTCTGTTAATACCTGTTGCACGATTGTTGTCAATTCCAAGCAGAGCTGTATGACATTATTCCTTGTAACTGAATAGTCTGTGACAGCAGCAAATGGTGACCTATAAAGCAAAAACAAAAACTGTGATTAATAGGAATAATTTTTGATATGTTCTAAAAAGTACAATAACCTAAAATAAGATTTTTAGTAATATGAAATAAATTGTTTATAGTGATAAAATATTTAGGACATAGTTATAAATTGAGGGAGATTCTTGGAAAAAATTATATTCAAGAAACATGTTTGTTTTTTCATCAAATTTCTCTCTTTTTTTAGTTCTTAATATTTAGAATTTCTTTGGTACTTCTTACAAGGTCTCTTTACTACATCTAAAACAAATCAACCAAAAAAGGAGTATATTAGGCAAAAACAACATTTTAATTTACTTTCAAATGAAGTGAATATTTTGAGTATGGTATCTTTTTGAAATATTCACAATTAAGGGCTAGTAGTGATAACTAACACCTACTGAGGACTTACTATGTGCCAGTTACTATTCTAAATGCTTTACATGTACTAAATAATTTTCACAACAACTCTTGTAAGATAGGCACTATTGTTATTCCCATTTTACAGATGAGAACCCTGAGGTAGAAAAAGGGTTAAGTGACAAATAATACATGCTGAAGGTAGTATTCATACCCTGGAAGCCTGACTCCAGAGGTCACCACACATGTAGTTAAACAATAAGCTACTGCCTTGATGAACTCACGTAGATTTTATCTTGTACTAAACCAATTATATGTCACTTCACACTCTTTTAAGAACAAGTTGATACACAAATAATAAATGCATGCTGGTATAAGGCTATATTTTCAAGACTGTTATAGACAGCAGCAGTGTTTCCTAGCAAGTGTTTTGCCGCCAAATGAATTCACAATGGCTTTACATTACTCCTTATCCTCTCTCTTGTTCTGTGAATGCCAGTCAGGTTTTTGTGAGGCCAAAACTTACAGAATTTGAGAGGCCCTGTTTACAGAAAACAAACAAAATCACAAATATAAAAGAAGTTATGGAGGGAAAATGTTAGTCATATTACTGGAATCTTAATCTATTAATCTCTCTTTAGGCAATTTAATAGAAACACTTAAAATAGAACTCTTTTGTGGTTATGAACTGATTTTTTAAAGGATTTTATTTATTTTTAGAGAGAGGGGAAGGGAGGGAGAAAGAGAGGGAGAGAAACATTGATTTGTTGCCTCCCACACTTCCCCAACTGAGGACCTGGCCCACAACCCAGGCATGTGCCCTAACTGGGAATTGAACTGGTGACCTTTTGCTTTTGTGGGATGACACCCAACCAAGTGAGCCACACCAGTCAGGGCAACAACTGAATATAACACTCTTCTAGAAAACTCTACAACTCAAGCACCTCCCACTGTTACAAATGTCCATATAAGAGAGAGGTCCTTTATTGGTTATATACTTTTAAAACAGATTTTTTCATTTATATTTTTTAAATTTTTGGTCATTCTAATATCTATGAAGTGGCAAATCACCACAAATTTAATTCGAATTTCCCCAGTAGTTATATATATTTTCCATATAGATGTTATATATTTTCTATATCTAATAGTTATCAATATTCCTCTAACAAATTTCCATTCAATAATGATGGTGAACATCTTCATTTGCATATCTACTATGCATATACACTCTTTAGTGAAATATCTGCTCAAGCCCTATGCCCATTTTCTATTTGGATTCTTGGTAATTTTACTATTCAGTTTAGGGAGTTCTAAATATATTCTTTATGCAAGTCCTTCATGAAATAAGTGATCTATAGTATTCCTTCTCAGCCAATGACTTGGCTTTTGATCTTCTCAAAGAGGATCTTTAGGCAATCAAAGGTTTTTAATGAATTTATCCATAATTTCTTTTCTGGTGTTATATATAAGAAATCCTCACCTTAAGGTAAGTCAATTTTTCTTTTAACATTTTATAATTTTGTTTTATAAATTTAGATCTATGATTCATTTTAGTCATCTTTTATATAAGTTATGAGATTTGGGTCAAGGTTTACTTTTTTCCTAAGCCTGTCCAAGTGTTCCACCAGAATTTGTTGAAAGAATGTCCATTCTCCACTGAATTGCTTTTGCTCCTTTGTCAAAAATCAGCTAACCATACTTATAAAGGTATAGTTTTGAATTTTCTATGTGTCTATCCTGCTACCAATACCACAGTTTCGATTACTGAAGTTATATAATATGTAAAATCAGGTAAATTAATTTCTTTTCCTAACTATCCTAGTTCCTTTGCTTTTTAGTTTAAATTTTAGAATCAAATTGTATATAGCTATAAACAATCATGCTGGAATTTTTATGTGGATTTCTTTAAACCTATAGGGAGATTTGAGGAGAACTGGCATCTTTACTAAGCTGAGTCTTTTAATACATGAATACAGTATGCATCTCCACTTATTTAGGTCTTGTTTGATTTCATACATGTTTTATAGTTTTCATTTACAGATCCTTCAGAAATTTTGCTAAATTTATATGTAGGCATCTCATTATTTTTGGAGTTACTATAAATTATAGTATGCTTTTAATTTTGCTGTCCAATTTTTCATTGCTAGAATATAGGAATATCATTAATTTTTGTGTATAGACTTTGTATCCTACATTTTGCAAAATTTCCTTACTAGTTCTAAAAGACATCATATATATATATATATATATATATATATATATATATAATCTTAGAACTTTCTCTTTTTTGGTAATTCAGTTTTAATTTATTTTCATGATATTTTCTTTGTGGTCCAGATATATCAAAATGCAAACAAAATTAACTTTCCATTTTATATATATATATATATCAGGGACTAGCACTAAAATGTTTTTCAAACTGCAAATGAGTTACACAAATGAAATATCAAACGGAGATCCAGTTATCAAAACAAAAGCACTCAACATATTAAAAGTTCACAATTATTTGTTTAGAGTTCATAAAAAGTCAGCTTGATTTAAAGAACTATTGCAGAGATTTGAATAGATCGTTAATTTATAAAAATTAAAGAACTTGAAACAAATATTAAAAAGAAATGTATGCCTTTATTAGAATGGTGTTAGCATTTAAATAAGTGAAATTTGGTAATCAAATTACTTATTTTTTAATAAGAAATGACACTACAGAAGTGCAATACAGGTTCAACAGTTTTGTCTTTATTTTTCCTTTAAAGCAACAAACAGAAGGCGAGTAATCAGAAAGCACTACTAGGTATCAGTTCATTCAAGATACTAACTTCTTAGTCCCAAAAGCACTTGCAAAGAAAACCATTGGGACAGCACAGGGGGATGGAACTAATAACTGGAATCCCATGAGCATGTGTGTATGTCAGTATCTTAGAATTTGCTACATACAGACATACATTATCTGCAAGTAGGGAAAGATTTACTTTTTTCCTTTCCAATCTCTGTTTTTTATTTCTTTTTCTTGCCTACTACACCAAATACTACTTCCTACACATTATTACATAGTAAGAGTGAGAGTACACAGCCTAATCTTTTCCCCAATCTTGGGAGGAAAATGTTCAACCTTCCACAATGAAGTATAGTGTTAGCCATTGCTTTTTATACATGCTTTTTATCAGTTGAGGTATTACCACTTTATTTCTATGTTGCTGAGAATTTCTCTAATTGGGTATAGATTCCACCAAATGTTTTTTTACAATAATGAAAGGATCATATGATATTTGTTCACAAGCCCATTGATGTGGTGGAATATACTGATTTATTTCCAAGTGTTGAAGCAGCCTAGCATACCTGGAATAAATCCCACTTAATCTTTGTGAAAAATTCTATTTATATGCAGTTGAATATGATTTACCAATATTCTGTCAAAGATTTTAACATGTAAGTTCATTAGAAATAAACTTCCAGTCAAGATGGATGCATAGGTAGACATACTTCACCTCCTCACACAACCGTAAGAAGGAAAATTTCTTCTTTTTTATGGCCAAGTAGTATTCCATTGTGAAAATGTCCCATAGTTGTTTTATCCACTCATCTACTGATAGACACTTGGGCTGCTTCCCTATCTTGGCAATTGTAAATAATGCTGCAATGAATAGATTTCTGCTCCTTTATCATTATTATTTTCTCTCTTCTGCTTGCTTTGGGCTTATTTTGCTATTATTTTCTATTTTCTTTTTTTATATTTAGTTATTTTTCAAGTACAGTTTTTTGTCTATTTCTCCCATCCCAGCACCTCCCCATCCCGTGCTCCCCACTTCCCTCCCATCTCCACCCCCCCTAGCTCTCGTCCCTGTGTCCTTCCTATTTGTTCCTCCAAATCCCTCCCCCCTTCCCCCTTAAATTCCCTTCCCTCTCCCCTCTGGTCACTGTCCTCTTGTTCTCTATTTCAGTGTCTTGGTTTTTATTCTGCTTGCTTGTTCGTTTTGTTGTTTAGCTTCCTGTTAAAGGTGAAATCATATGGTAACATAAAATGGAGTAAAGATAGCCTCTTCAACAAATGGTGTTGGGAGAACTGGACAGCTACGTGCAAAAAAATGAAACTTGAGCACACACTTACACCATACACCAAAATAAATTCAAGGTGGATAAAAGACTTAAATATAAGCCATGACATTAGTAAAGTCCTAGAGGAGAACATTGGCAAGAAAATCTCAGATATTCCACGCAGCAACATTTTTATGGATATGTCCCCTAGAGCAAGGAATATAAAGGAAAGAATAAACAAATGGGGTCTCATCAAAATAAAAAGCTTCTGCATGGCTAAAGAAAACAGTATTAAATTAAAAAGACAACCAACTGAATGGGAAAATATATTTGCCAATGATACCTCAGACAAAGGTTTAATCTCCAAAATATACAAAGAACTTACATAACTCCACTCTAAGAAGACAGCCAACCCAATTAAAAAATGGGAAAAGGACTTGAACAGACACTTCTCCAAGGAGGACATACAGAATATCCAGAGACACATGAAGAGATGTTCAATATCGTTAGCTATCAGAGAGATGCAAATTAAAACCACAATGAGATACCACTTTACACCAGTCAGGATGGCTATCATAAACAAAGCAACAAACAACAAATG